AGATGGGAAGTACAATGCCTGCATTTTGAAGGAGGGGTGTTAATGTTGCAGCTTTATAACTGTAGTGTAGGCATGCCTCTGGCAAGACAGTGATGGAGTGAATGATGATGGATGCTTTTCTTTTTTGGGCCACCCTGCCTTGGTGGGAAATAGCCAATGTGTTAATAAATAAAAAATAAATTTGTGACACAATGGCTATGGGTGGAAATCTAACCTATTTTCCCAGTCAAATTGGAAAGGAAAAAATGAGATAAGAAGTATTAAAAAGGGGGTGAAGGGGCAAGCCAGTGGAAGGCCTAGGTCAGATGACCAAAAACTCCAGCTGTGGGTCATCATATGACAAGACCCACGTCAGGAAACACTTGCCCTGTTTCCTGACAAACCTTACTTAACCTAGTCTAACTCAGGAAGGTAAAAATAAGTGTATGATGATTGTATAAATGAGTTAGTTATTAAAAAGTTAGCAGTCTGTAAGCAGGTATGAAGAACCATAGTACAGAGATAATGCCTTACTCATCAGTGAGCTTTATATTGTCTTGTCGATGCACAGCCCTGGGGGGGCAGTAAGGGGGCTGAAGCTCCCCAGAAGCAAATACTTTTTTTAAATTATGGTTAATTTTCACTGTATTATATTGACCAATGAATACAAAAACATGATAATTAAAGAAATTTTGCATACACATGTTTTTTTTATTTTTTCAGTATCTTATAATTTTTAAGCTCCCAGATTGAAATCCTAGCTTAAGCTCCCTACATTGCAATCCTAGCTTAAGCTCCCCACATTGCAATCCTGGCTTAAGCTCCCCACATTGCAATCCTAGCTTAAGCTCCCCACCTTGCAATCCTGGCTTAAACTCCCCACATTGCAATCCTGGCTTAAGCTCCCCACATTGCAATCCTGGCTTAAGCTCCCCACATTGCAATCCTGGCTTAAGCTCCCCACATTGCAATCCTAGCTTAAGCTCCCCACCTTGCAATCCTGGCTTAAGCTCCCCACATTGCAATCCTAGCTTAAGCTCCCCACATTGCAATCCTAGCTTAAGCTCCCCACATTGCAATCCTAGCTTAAGCTCCCCACATTGCAATCCCAGCTTAAGCTCCCCACATTGCAATCCTAGCTTAAGCTCCCCACCTTGCAATCCTGGCTTAAGCCCCCAACTGAAATCCTAGTAGAGCTACTGTGTCTTGTTACTGCAGGTGTCAATCTAGCACTTGGCAGATGGTGCATGTGACAAGCATAAGCTCAAATTATTCCTACGATTTAAAAGAGCCCAGTTATGTGTACAATCAGTTCCTGCTCTTACCAGTGGTTAGATTTCTTCTTAAGTAAGATTCTTTGAGACTCTAGATTCCTTGAGAAAGTTTGTAGAACATAATTTGTTTGTCATAAATTTGTAAGATGTCTAGTATATCTGGCAAAACCACTGTTGAACTTTCATCCAATGTACACTTCACTCTGAAGGAGGGGCGGAGATATGTTGCAGTTTTTGAACTGTTGTGTCGGCATGCCTCTGGTAAGACAGTGATGGAGTGAGTGTTGATGAAAGAGTTTCTTCTGTTTTGGATCACCCTACCTCAGTGGGAAATGGCCAATGTGTTGTGTATCTTTATACATATATACTTCTAAACTGTTGTGTTCTGAGCACCTCTGCAAAAACAGTGATTATGTGTGAGTGTGGTGAAAGTGTTGAATGATGATGAAAGTATTTTCTTTTTGGGGATTTTCTTTCTTTTTGGGTCACCCTGCCTCAGTGGGAGACAGCCGACTTGTTAAAAATATATATATATATACTATGTGTATTTGAATGTGAATGTTTGTATACACGTTTATCAATTTTTACCTTTGGTATTTTTTAATATACCTGTAATATCTACTTTCAAATTCCATGGAAAAGTGGGTTGGAAATCTTCCTCATTAAGCGATGCATGTTATGGAGGGTGATGGAAATACCAGGAGGCAGGGTTAGTAACCTTTTCTGCTGTATCATTGTCATGGAGGGTGATAGAAATACCAGGAGGCAGGGCTGGTAACCCCTTCTGCTGTATCATTGTCATGGAGAGTGATGGAAATACCAGGAGGCAGGGCTGGTAACCCCTTCTGCTGTATCATTGTCATGGAGGGTGATAGAAATACCAGGAGGCAGGGCTGGTAACCCCTTCTGCTGTATCATTGTCATGGAGAGTGATGGAAATACCAGGAGGCAGGGCTGGTAACCCCTTCTGCTGTATCATTGTCATGGAGAGTGATGGAAATACCAGGAGGCAGGGCTGGTAACCCCTTCTGCTGTATCATTGTCATGGAGAGTGATGGAAATACCAGGAGGCAGGGCTGGTAACCCCTTCTGCTGTATCATTGTCATGGAGAGTGATGGAAATACCAGGAGGCAGGGCTGGTAACCCCTTCTGCTGTATCATTGTCATGGAGAGTGAAAGGAAATACCAGGAGGCAGGGCTGGTAACCCCTTCTGCTGTATCATTGTCATGGAGAGTGATGGAAATACCAGGAGGCAGGGCTGGTAACCCCTTCTGCTGTATCATTGTCATGGAGAGTGATGGAAATACCAGGAGGCAGGGGTGGTTAACCCCTTCTGCTGTATCATTGTCATGGAGAGTGATGGAAATACTAGGAGCAGGGCTGGTAAACCCCTTCTGCTGTATCATTGTCATGGAGAGTGATGGAAATACCAGGAGGCAGGGCTGGCAACCCCTTCTGCTGTATCATTTACGATACTTAGAGAAAACGAAGGAAATATTAAAGATGGAATGTTTGAATGTATATGGATGTAGCACAAATAAGAAATACCGTCATTGATTATTAATGTTATGAACTGAAAGAAGCTGGATATCCCATCATGACTCGTGAAATCATAATAATGCGATTGCAAACAAACCACAGAACATGTTGGATTGAACCCACGGCCGAGTGGCTTACGCACTGGTCTGGAGTTTTAGGACCACTTTCCATGGGTTCAAACCCCACCTGTTCTGTGGTTTGGATGTCCTAAGACTTACCAAAACGCAGCTAAAATGGTTGGGAGAATTTGATTGAGGTGTAGTAAATTGGATTAAATCAAGCATATCTGAGAGAATGAGAGCTACAGAAAGAATAGCGGTAATATTAAATGACCAACAATAGAAGGAAAGGAAAGGAGGGAGTATTAAGTGTCCATATTCAAGAATTATGTAGATTAGAATTAAGCTGGGATGTGAGAAGTAGATTTTAATTGTATTCATTTACCTAGGATAGGAGTGTATTATTATTATAATCAGAAAGAAGCTCTAAACCACAAGGGTTATACAGCGAGGAGAGGAGTATAGAGGAGAGAGATTCTGGTGGTATTAAAGGATTGTATAGAGAGTTTTGAACTTGGTGAGAGAGTAAATATTTACAATGTCATGACTGCAGGATATTCAGATAAGGGTGTAGGTAGATAAAGGAGCATAGCAAATTCATATTGTATGTTAGTAACAGTGTATTATGAAAAACATATTAGAGCAGCTTTTGTCATGTTAAGATCAGATTTTGTTTGCATTTTTAACCCTGGAGAGTTAGCTACCCAGGATAGCCCAAGAAAGGCAGTGCATCATCGAGGGACTGTCTTATTTCCACTGGGGTCCTTAATCTTGTTCCCCAGGATGCAGCCCACACCAGTCGACTAACACCCAGGTACCTACTTGCTGGTAAACAGGGACAGTAGGTGTAAGGAAACACACCCAATGTTTTCACCCTTGCTGGGGATTGAACCACAGATACACACTGTGCGAGGCAAGAACGTTGCCTACCAGGCCATGGGACACTGTGGTACTCTTGTCAAGATTGAATTTTCAAATATAAGAGTGTATACAATGACTCAAAATGACTAGCAGCTTGTGTACATTGGAAATATACGGGGACCCGAATGTTAAAGTGAGAGAGAGACAGTTGTACGAAACTAACAATGAAGGACCTCGAATTTAATTATGTTAAAAAAAAAAGTTTGGTAATAAGTAATACATTACTTAGAATTTAAATATGTATATGAGGTATGATAAGTGCTCAACAGCTGTTTGCTAAATTATTTATTGGTAGACAAAAGATTGATGGGTAGACTTCTGGAGGTGAATGTTTTTGAGGAGCGACTGTCAAGTTCCCTCAAGGTCAGATATAACCAACTACCCAAACCATGTCACAATGGGAGGGTGTGGAGGTATATGGTCATCTGCAGTGAATCAAAATATTTTAAAATCGAGTGAATTAAAATATTTTTCAGAGCTTTTCAGTTATAATAAGATTGACTATGATTTATTCTGAATGCGAATACATGTATACGTATGTATGTGTGTGTATGTATATGTATATATATACATATTTATATTATTTATTTATCCATTACAAATTTAATCTAATTAGTAAGATTTGATAAATATTGTGCTAAAGAATAGTGTACGTACTATATGTAATTTTGAGCTGCATTTGTAAATAAGAATTTTTTGTAAGAAATGAAGATATTGAGAGCGGTCATTGTTAAATATATACCTGCATGAAATATATCATACTAATAATTATGTGAAATAACCTCAAGTAAACAAGTGAGAATAGCTTTGAATAATTGACTGAGCAAATGTGAAAATGTGAGATATTAACCCTTAAACGGTCCAAAGAGATCGACATTCAAATTCGTAGTGCTACAAAAGTAGATCTATTTTTTTTTGCATATTTTCAAATTTAACAAAAAAAAATGTAGGTAAAAGTTTTTTTTACACGTTTTCAAATGTAAAACGAAAAAGAAGATCTACATTTTTTTACATTCTTTCAGATGTTGAAAAAACGTATATATACGTTTGGACCATTTAAGGGTTAAAAATAAGTGAGAGTGTATTGATATTGCATGCTTATGACAAAAAAAAACTATATATATTTATTATACATTATTTCCAAAATAACTTTAGAGAAATAAGATCTATGGGTTGTGACTGCTAATACAACCATTCTCCCCTTCCCCCTGCGTCATCCCCTCCAGCCCTGCTGAAGATGGGACGGTGACAGTAGGGTTAGTTATATACACTTGTCTCCCATCTGCCATCCATACTCCTTACTTGCCACTGTATTATGGATTCTCTTTTTCAGTTTCTTCTCTAGTATGCAGTTCAGATTTGGAGGAAATCATTATGTGAAGATAGAAATACAAGTTGATAAATAAGGCTTTTGTTGGACATTGTTTTACACTGTACGGTCTACACTTAGCAGAACATTGTTGCAAAATAAGCTTTTGTTGGACATTGTTTTACACTGTATGGTCTACACTTAGCAAAACATTGTTGCAAAATAAGCTTTTGTTAGACATTGTTTTACACTGTATGATCTACACTTAGCAGAACATTGTTGCAAAATAAGCTTTTGTTGGACATTGTTTTACATTGTACAGTCTACACTTAGCAGAACATTGTTGCAAAATAAGCTTTTGTTAGACATTGTTTTACACTGTATGATCTACACTTAGCAAAACATTGTTGCAAAATAAGCTTTTGTTAGACATTGTTTTACACTGTATGGTCTACAATTAGCAGAACATTGTTGCAAAATAAGCTTTTGTTGGACATTGTTTTACACTGTATGGTCTACACTTAGCAGAACATTGTTGCAAAATAAGCTTTTGTTGACATTGTTTTAACGTTGTATGTCTACACTTAGCAGAACATTGTTGCAAAATAAGCTTTTGTTGGACATTGTTTTACGCAATAGTGGTCTACACATAGCAAAACATTGTTTCAGATTGAAGTTTTTTTTTTTCAACTTGTATCTTTCTCTTCTTACTTGTTGGCAATATGCTGGTTTCCAAAATAATTGGAAAAAAAAAATTAGAATTTTTTGATCAAAGTCCTTAAAATTATGCTTTCTTAACTTTGAATTTTGAAAAGGCTGTGAAAAAGACCTCTGATAATAACACATTATGCCTGCAGTATTTTTGTATACTTCATGGAAATTTTGCATACTGGTTTTTAATGATATGGTTCTTGAGGTTGTAAAGCATGAAAAGGCTAAAACGTGCGCATGTGGGAGCCTGGATGCGGTGGTCATTCTGTGCTGTTTGGAAGTTGCAGTCACTCACTCCTTCGCTGTATAACCCGCACTATTATTCCCTTAACCTGACTTAATGAGTGACATTCAGAATTACTTATGAGAGTTATGTTAACAGTGTGAGCATTAGGAATTCCCATGATCCTTATCAAAGAGAATAAAAGTCACTATATAGGAGGACCCTGTATATACAGTACCTCCTTTTGGTGTTCCACGTTTTCATTGGCTTTAAATTGAGCCATTATTCATTTTATTCTGCCCACCAGTGGGGGGAACAATAGCTCATTTGAAAGCCAATGAAAACCTGGAATGTCAAAAGAGGTACTGTATGTGTAGAGTCCTTCTGTACTGTGGCTGGAACAATTCACTCATGATTCACAAAGTACAGATGATTTAGAATACATTTCATTCTTTGATAGGCATAATAATGGTCTAGAGTGAATTGACATGTATTCTAAAGTTCATCTTTAATTTGTGGTTCACTTGTCAATTATCAAATATATTTGTTTGTGTTCACTTGGAATACTCATCCTCATATCTGTTATAGATATGTAATTGTGAATGTCACATTAACTTACCTATTTGGCTACCCATATTTCGAGTTGGACAATGTTGCATCACAGTGGTTGTGGTAAATATTCTAATGTATATCATTTTAGTTTATTGTTAAATATTCCTCGATGTGGGATAATTTATTCATATAATTATTTCCTTGCTATTGATATTCTTATTTTTATAGATATTGAGTTAATATTAGCTCTTCAGATAGATTGGTAAAATTTTTGATGATTTATTATAAATAAAATATTGCTACTGATAAAATTTGGTTAAATTATTACATAATACACAATACAGTAATTAATTTTTGTGTAACACAGTCATTCCTTAATTGAAATTACAAGATATTAGTACAATTATACAAGTCTGTTTACTGACTTGCTTCAAAATGACTTCAACAACTTGCTGTTTAACCTTATCAGCAGAAACCATAAAAATGAAATGTGTTATTGATGTCACTGGCCACTCTGGTCGAGTTTGCACAGTCAGTCTTTATTCTGACACAAAAAAAGAAAGAATTAAGACTTACTCTGCAAGTCTTACTTATTGGCTCTGCTAGTCTTACACACAATATTTCTTTCTGAAATATATAAAATGTAGTTTACAGGTAATTAAATACTGTTAAGCACAGAAGTCACTAACTAGTTTTACTTATCGGCACAAAAATGTCACTTATTTATCGGCAACATTTGCCAATCAGACCACATTAACCACTGTGATAAAACACATTGAAGTGATAAGCCTCAGTGTATCCCTGCTATCTTGCACACTGGCTTTAGAAAGGAGGTGTACTTTGTCATGTACGACTGTAATGCAGTGTTGTGCAGTATAACATTTTATACGTGGCCAACAGGACGTGCCACCAGGTAGAGGCCCAAAGAAGACAGCCATTACTGTACTTTGTAATTAAAGTAATGTAAAATTAGAATACTGAATATCAGTATTTATACATCTATAAATTTATACTAGAATTAATATTGACATGGACAAAGAGGAGAATTCCAATTGTTCTTATTCTTAGATGCAGTCAATGGTGGGTTTAGATTAATTAATATCATGTTCAGTAAAGTATCCATTGAACATGTGTACTGCTCGAAGATGTTAGTCTTAGATTTATGCATTACTTATTATAATGTGAAGATTATGAATAAATAAGGTTTATTTACTGCCTTTTCTGGCTTAATATAGTGTAGTTTAAAAGGCTTATAGTAATTTTCTGACACTTGTTAACACGTTACTGAAGAGTTGTACTAGTGGATCTTTTCACTGATGACAAAATTTGCTATTTGCTACTTTTGGCTGACATTTGTATTCAATTAGGACTAAGGAACTAGTGTTAATTAAAACTGATGAACAAAAAAACCATGTTTCTCTTAATATTGATAAAGTAATAGCTGCAATGTAAGATACTAGCAGCAACAAGACACTGGTCCTAAACCACAGTGCTGGAAAGGTTTATCTCTAGTCTGTAATGGTAATCAATGAGATAATACTCCTTCAAGTTCTCACCTGATATCATTCTATCTTTTATCCATAGCCAAGAACAGACTCAAGGCCAAATAGCCCCTAACGTACCGTTTCCAACAAGGTTTGTTATATGATAAAGTAGTATAGAATATTACATTTTCTGGTAACTTGATCTAGAGCAATTTCTCATTTATATAGTTGCTAGAAATACACAACACATTTTGAATATTTTTATTGGCATATGGGTAATTAGATTGCCAGTGTTTTGGCTATTTCTTTTATTACCAATGAAGATTGCCATGCTTTATGAAGACAAGCATTTCTCTGCAATTTTGAAGTCATCTTGTTCAATACTCACTCATGCATTGTGCACCAGTAACTTGAAATGTTATAATGATCTCTGATAAAAAATATAACTAATGGGGTGAATTCTAGTGCTCTCTGGGCCAGATATGTTTAGTCACCTTTGGTGAATTATATTGTTTCTAAATTTGATGATCATTATTTAAACTTTGGACTTGATACGATGACATTGTCTTCATTCCAAGTTACTTTTCACTGAATTCAAAACAACTGGACATGTGTCAAGCATCTTGGGAGTATGCATGGTAGTGAGTTCTTCCCCAAAACAATTAGACCACTTTATCAATATATCGTGAATGAAACTGAGACTAACTTATTTTTTCTTCTGCTTATTTTATTGCAGGCAAATAGCACCAATATGTTCTCTATATTTATCTTATGGTTATGTCATTATTCTTTCTTCTTTATTGACAGCTGTCCATCAATAGTACTTGCTAGCACATAAAATATATACATTTCTTTATTAGGTGATCAAGTTTTTTCATTGTAATAATGACTGCATTCTGTTTATGGTACAACAACATTATACCATACTGTATGTTATTGGATCCATCATTTCGGCTGTAATGCATTAACCTAGAAAATAAGCCTCGTCATGGCAGCACACATATTTATTGTTGTGACAACAGACATCACATTGGGGAAGGTAAAACTTGAATAGTTTTTTGGAGCCAATAGTCCTTGGTTACCCCCACATACCTGTGTGCACCCCAACCTTCCAGTTTCCTTATGTTTCTTAGGCATGATGAGAACTACCATGTACCAACACCACAAAAGAAATCTTCACATGACCATATTTAAAATAGCATAATAATTTGTGTGAGCGGTTGGCTTTTGCCACCTATTTTTATGTGTGTGTGTGTACGTGTGCAAGGTGCCACGATTTCTTTTGTGTGTGAGTGGGTCCAGACCCGGCATGGTGGGTCTGGTAGGATCTGGCGTCGCCGTTCCCCCAACCCCTTGGACAGAGGTTCGGGTGGATCATAACTGCACGGCGGCGCCACTCATAATTACGATCCTCGTAACAGTAATGGGCGGTGGGGTCAACACCTCATAGACAGGGTCACTCACCAAACCCATAAAGCAGTGAAGGTGTGCCCAGAGGACAGCATCAGCTCTTGCAGTACTTGTAAGTCCCGCCCACACAGCCACTACATAACAATTCTCTCTTCACTTTTCACTTCCATTGATTTTTAGTAAATTTTTTATCTGTGAATTTAAAATATTAAAGATTTCTGACATTTTTTTAATTATTTGTTTGTATAACATATAACACACACACACACACACACACACACATGTAAACATTGACCATTGGATAACACATGATCTGTTGAACATGTTTTGCTAAATTGTAGCATATTTTTGGTGTACATGCCATAAAAATGGGTTTATGCAATGAAGTACATGTAGGGGTATATGTGGCATGCAATGTGGTCTTTACCCTACATGTCAGAGTGAGCCCATTGTCTTAAGGGTGGTGGTGGATGAGGGTATGGGTGGAGGTGGGTGAGGGAATGGGTGAAGGAAGGTGAGTGAGGACTAGGATGTATGGGCAGCAAGGTGTAAAAAAAACGCACAGAGGTGTGTGAAAAATGGGTGTTGGCATTGGGCGTGCTGGGTAATGGGTTAGAACAGCCAGGATCTGGGCTACATGCATATGCATTTGATACCATACAATGTGCTATGTTCATACATATTTAATGCCATACAATGTGCTATGTTTAAACACATTTAATACCATGCCACATGCTACATTCATACACATTTAATACCATACCACATGCTATGTACATACACATTTAATACCATAGCATGTGCTACATTTATACATGTCCAATACCATACCTTGGCCACATGCCTTTGCCCATACTATTCCAGCCAGCAACCTCCACCCTCCCCACACCTTCACCCACATAATCCCAACAAACAACCCACCCATACCCCCTCTCCCCTCCATGACCCAGCATCCTCCACCTCCTAACACCAGCCTCCACTCGTTCCCCCCACCATTTGATCTTCACCTCCCACAACATCAGCCCCTCATTCCCCACCTCTTAGTCCCCTACCCCAACATTAAACCCTCTCACCTCAACCACTCTAACCCCTCCTTTATAACTTCCATGCCATTGCAATGAGTAGAACAACAAAACAATAAAATAACTGCTTGTAGAGATGTTGTTGCAAGATTTTTCATGTACATCACCACATCAACCTTCAATTACATTATTATTATTTTTTTTTTCAAAATTTTGAGACATAAAAAATTTGGTTGGTCTAATAAACGTAACCCTATTTTCCCCATATGTTCTTCAGTTCGGTTTACACGATTTTTTTTATTACACCATTTTCAAGAATGTAACTTTTGTATCATGTTTCTGATAGCGTGTTGTTAGTTTTATAATATATATATATTTATTTTATATCAATTATATATATATATATATACATATTATTTATATTATATATATATATATATATATATATATATATATATATATATATATATATATATATATATATATATATATATAATATATTATATATATATATATATATATATATATATATATCACAGACATACACACCATACACAGTTACACAAACATGTACACACATATATTGCAATTACCACTTGTTACCTTGGCTAATGTGCTCGGGACCTCTGCCAGACTACATGTTGTAACTTCACTTTACTCCATCTTTGGAAGATCTACAAGTTGATCAACAAGAAGAATGATGCTTTGCAAAAAAAAAAAAGGCACCACTGCATGGCAGGTTTTACGAAATGCATCTGTCATGTCCACTTTATTCCTTTGATTAATTTTTGCTTGATGCATCCCTGTCTATGGTTTACTTTATTGACACTCTAGATTAAGGTAAAATATGAAGTACCTGTATTAATAAAATAGATTATTATATGTAACAGTATTATATTTTAGCTGCACTGTAAAATTTTAGATTATATTGCATATAGATGATATCTTTAGAAAAACATTACACATGTATCGTAATAAATAATGTAGTAGAGTATTTCAGACCTTTACGAAGTAGATACGTTATTATTGATCATGTTGTGCATAGTCTTAATATGCCACTCTATATAAATGAAATATCAGGCTGATTCTCTTGTCATTAATCCTTGAGTAAAATTTTTGGCTCCTGTATTATGGCTGAGGAGTAATTGAAATAATGTTCTGATGGCTCTAGGGCATACACCCTGCCATAGATTTATACACGATTGGCTGTTACGGCTTTCATTGTGCAGTACAAAAATAATTTCTCTATGAAAAGTTTATAGCTAAATATATTTGTGTGTCAAATTTTTTAGGCTTCAAGATTATAATACAGAAGGTCTTCAAGCAAATTATGTCGCACATATTGAAATTCAAAGACATTTCAAAGAAAAGTCTTCTCCTGACACTTGCGATTAACTTTTTAACTTGGCCTGCCTTAATATGATCTTTTAATGACACAGACCTGACGGCGTGGGTACCGTCCTGGCAGAGGAGAAAGAGCGCTTCCAGGTTATTAAGGAGAGATTAAGAGTCTTGTTAGAGCATCAGATTACTAATTTTATGTAAGTATAATTTTCTCAGGTTACAGTTAATTCTCAGTATAATGGAAATAGCAGTTGATTTAGGGCAGTTGATTTAGAAACACTGAATAAAGTCTGGTTAACAAGTTGTCCATTAAAAATTTAAAGATTATTTATGTTTGTACAGGGATGAGTGACATTTAGGTGTGCATGCAGAAAGCCCCTTAGCATGCAGAGCATTTTGAGTGAACTTAGGCCTATCTAATAAGGGGTTGTAAGAGAAGTGAATGCTCGGGTGTTGGCAAGAGGTGTGGGGTTAAAAGATAAAGAATCTAACACAAGGTGGGAGTTGTCACAGTTGCTCTTTGCTTATGACACTGTGCTTTTGGGAGATTCTGAAGAGAAGTTGCAGAGGTTGGTGGATGAGTTTGGTAGAGTATGTAAAAGAAGGAAATTAAAAGTGAATATAGGAAAAAGTAAGATGATGAAGATAAAAAAAATTAGGTAACAAAAGATTGGATATCAGATTGGAGGGAGAGAGTATGGAGGAGGTGAATGTATTCAGATATTTAGGAGTGGACATGTCAGCGGATGGGTCTATGGAAGATGAGATGAATCAGAGAATTCACAAGAGAGAAAAAGGTGAGTGGTGCATTGAAGAGTCTGTGGAGACAAAGAACTTTGTCCATGGAAGCAAAGAGGGGAATGTATGAGAGTATAGTTATACCAATGCTCTTATATGGGTGTGAAGCATGGGTGGTGAATGTTGCAACAAGGAGAAGGCTGGAGGCAGTGGAAATGTCATGTCTGAGGGCAATGTGTGGTGTGAATATAATGCAGAGAATTCGTAGTTTGGAAATTAGGAAGAGGTATGGGATTACCAAGACTATTATCCAGAGGGCTGAGGAGGTAGTGGTGGAGGGGTGTTGAGGATGGCTTCGGACATGTAATGAGTGATGGAACAAATAGAATGACTTCAAGAGTGCATAAATTTGAAGTGGAGGGAAGGCAGGGGTAGAGGTCGGTCTAGGAAAAGGTTTAGGGAGGTGATGAAGGAGGTTTTGTGTGCGGGGGGTTTGGACTCCAGCATAGCTTGTGTTGAGATGTGGATAGGAGCAAATGGAGATAAATGGTGGTTTTAGGACTTGGACGTGCTTGGAGTATGAGCAGGGTAATATTTATGTAGGGATTCAGGAAACAACAGCCGATATGAGTCCTGATATGGTAAGTACAGTGCCGCACTTGAAGGAGGTGTTCATTGCAGTTTTGTATACTGTAGTAATTGCCCTGGCAAGAATGATAGAGTAATCATTATGAAAATTTTTGGTGAAAATGGCTGATGTTAATAATTAAAAATGTAATTGATTGCTTTTTATATATACAGTCTCAAATATACGTTCATAACAAAACTTTATCTTCTCTATCCATTGCAGTCCTCCTATTAACCTTGTTATAATGAGGGTTTATTTATTGTTATAGTATAAATTGCAGTTTTTATTTGTTGTTATTTTTAGATTAGTATAATTCATTAATAATGTTTAGAGATGAAATGCAAGAACCCACATGTTCAAATTCAAATTCAAATTTTTTTTATGCTGTTCAAAGACAATGCAATAATAGTAGAATTACCAACAAAATTAATGTTAGGTTAATAATCATCTCTACAAGACTTACTAAAGCCACATAGCATGACCTTATAAAATACTCAATTCTCTTTTATTCATTGTAACTCATCTAAAGACCACATGTACTGTTATTCCCTTATTAATCTTAAGTTAGTTTTAAGTTTGCCCTAAATGTCCTGCATATAAAGGTGATTTTGGCATGTACACCCAACTGTTATATTCCTTCGTACAAACATGTATCATGTCAAAATAAAATATTTTATTATTATTATTATTATTATTATTATTATTATTATTATTATTAGTATTATGTAAAGTAAAAAAGTAATTCTACCAACTTTATTACATTATTAGTATTAAATGGACAGAGAGGCAACTAATGTGACATTTTATTGTGGCAATGTTGCACTCTCAAGGAGCTACAATAAAATGTCACATTAGTTGCATCTCTGCCATTTACCTTACAAAGATAGTGTACAAAACAAGCACAGGTTGAATGATAGCTCTGGGATTTCTGTGTTCCAATCAACATACTTCAGGGTGTTGTTGTACTGCAGAAATGAGTAGGAAGTCCAAGCAAATTCGTTCAGGGGAATGAGTTACAGTGTTCCCATGAACGAATCTACCTAGAAACTAGAAACTCTTCCTGAAAACTCTAGAACTGCAGACACATTCATCACTTTCAAAACTACAGTTAGAAAACATCTTATCTCCCTGATACACCCCGTCAACTAACTACATGATAACCACCTGGTGGTTCACAATTACACTCACTCACCCACTGACTATAAACACAGAAATACGAATCTTAATCTTAAAATAATGAATCCTAACTAGTCATAAGTTTGCCTATGATACTCCAATATAGACACCTTGTATTGTGCCAAAACAAAAGCATTCACATTGCTAAACTCACAAACTATAATGTAGTCACTTAGCCTTAATACCATAATCTGTAATAATTTAAAGTTTAGAATTAATCTAAGTCTGCCCGAAATGCCTAGCCATGCTAGGTGTCCTAGTGGCCCCCTCTGTAATTAGTATTTTAAAATATGTAAACCACACAATATTCAAAATCTGTAAACCCCACATTGTAATCCTTATAGAGAATAAACTTGATTGATTGATTGATTGATAGATTTCCTACTTATTTCTGCAACATTACAAGCTCCTGATGATGTGTTGATTGCAACACAAAAGCCTAGAGCTATCATTCAACTCTCCCTGTCATTGTTTTGCATCTTGTATCGCTTGTTTGCAATTATTGTATGAAGATAATGTAGTTTACATGTAGCCAAACAGTGGAAAAAATTATTACGTACTGTATATCTCAACTTCCGACTGAAGACCTCATCACTTGCTGATAATGACCTCAGTTAGGAGTTGAAATATACAATAAACTTAGTGTTCTCGTTTGTGTTGACATGTGGGTTCCTCATGCTCACTGACAATTGTTCAGTACACCTCTTTTGCAACATATAAATAAATTTTTCACGTCAACAGGTATTGCTTCCCATTTGGTCGACCAGAAGGTGCCCTTAAAGCCACGTTATCCTTACTAGAGCAAGTATGTTCCCCAGTATTTTTTTCTTTGAATGACATTAATGTAGGATATAACAATAAAAATGCTGAGAATTAGGTATCAAAGCTATACATAGATGAACAAGACTTTGTTAGACAACATTTATTCAGAGGTGGTGGTATTATTATTATTATTATTATTATTATTATTATTATTATTATTATTATTATTATTATTATTATTATTATTATTATTATTATTATTATGTACTGTATCATTGCAAATAAATTGTTTTTTTTTTTTTTGTTTTTTGAAAAAACATTAAGGACCCCAGTTTTATATAAAAGTTTATTTAATTTTTGCAGGAAACATTGGAAGATTTTATTTTTTAACACATGTATTATAATTTATATATATTACCTGCAAGAGCATATGAAACTACCACAGTGGCAAATCTTAAATATTGAAATGTTTGTGTCACAGGTCCTGATGAAGGATATAGTGACTCCCGTTCCTCCCGAGGAGGTGAGAGGCATGATCAAAAAGTGCCTCGAAAACGCTGCCCTCCTCAACTATACCCGTCTTTCATCCGAAACCAAAATTGAGGGTAAATATGGCAGTTGTGTATTCTTGGATCACTTGAGCTTCGAAAACTAAAACCTGCCATTTGCTCTCACAAGTTGATGAATGAGACACTTGAGCAACATTTGCACAGGCATCTCATGCACTGTAGTTTTCTTACACTGTGAAGGAAATACATGGACTATAATTTTTCAAGTGTTCAGCTAAACTTGCGCTATATGGGGTCGTGTCATGGAAAGGTTTATTGTATATGAAAACAATTATATACAGTGGACCCCCGGTTTACGATATTATTTCATTCCAGAAGTATGTTCAAGTGCCAGTACTGAACGAATTTGTTCCCATAAGGAATATTGTGAATTAGATTAGTCCATTTCAGACCCCCAAACATACACGTACAAATGCACTTACATAAATACACTTACATAATTGGTCGCATTGGGAGGTGATCGTAAAGCGGGGGTCCACTGTATAGTTGAGATGCATTGATGTCATAACAATAACAAGTACTGAACTGGGAGTAACTTTCTAGATAAGATAGTCCCCGAATCCTCATTTGGAAAAATGGTAATAATGAGACTGTGTGTCTTAAGGTTATGAATACATTCTCGACCCTCTTTCCGACCCATTTTTTTAAGCGTTCAACTACAGTGGTACCTCGGGATACGAACTTAATTTGTTCCAGAAGGCTGTTCGAGTGCCGATCTGTTTGAGTACCTAACGAATTTGTTCCTATAAGGAATAATGTAAATTAGATTACTCCCCCAAGAATACACTTACAAAAGTACTTACAAAAATACACTTACATAATTCTTCAAGTTTGTATCCCGAGGTACCACTGTAATTTAAGTTCGTTTCCAGGCCAGAATACAGTGGAACCTCAAATATCGAACTTTCTTCAGTCCAGAAGGCTGTCCGAGTGCCATTACCGAACGAATTTATTCCTATCAGGAATAATGTAAATTAGATTAGTTCATTTCAGACCCTCAAAAATACACTTATAAAAGCACTTACAAAAATACACTTACATAATTGGTTGAGTTGGGAGCAGTTCGATTTTTGAGGTTCCACTGTATTTATCCTTCCAGCAAGACATTTAATTTCCCCCCTTTCAATCCATTAACCTCCTCTTGAGATAGGTAATACACTGCTTACATACCTCAGACTATTTCTCTCTGTCCTGCTGTCAACCGTTGAAAATAACTTTTCGTATATTTTTTAACCCATAGGTGGAGACACAACCCTTCAAGGTAAACATTTTAGCATGGTAAATTTAATATTTTTATAATTCTTTGAGCATGGCTAATTAGTAAAGGATAGAGAGTTGCTCTCTAACTCTCATGTTGGTTGTAGTTGTGATGTAGTATGTAGTTTTCTAACCTTTTATGTTAGCTATGATATATAATGTAGTGTTGTAGTTCTCTAACTTTCATGTTATTTATGATGTATAATGTAGTTCTGTGATGTCGGGTTCATGTTGATGTTCCTGTATAGTACTCATTATTTTTTGGGTAATTATCCTTATGTAATTAATCTCCTCATGTACCTAGTGGCATTAGGTATGTAATTTCCTAATATTTTCATTGTCATCGTGACCCTAATGGTTTTATGTATATAATAACCTTATGTAAATGCTGTCTTTACATTTTGTTCTTATATATATAATGTTTTTGTGTACCTAATATCTTCATGTATTAGTTTTTGCCTGATTTCAGTTATTGGGGTTGATTTGATGCTGGTGAAAGGCTCTTGATCCTAGGAATTGGAGCTGCCGTCTTGTATCGTGGATTGAACCTGATTGCCTCTCATTCTCAGGCACTGTATGGTCAGTGCACATGTACCTGTGAGGGAGGTAACATTTATGAAGGGATTTAGGGGAATTGGTCAACTGGACTTGAGTCCTGGAGGTTGGTAGTAAAGTGCCTGCACTCTAAAGGAGGGATGGAGATATTTGCAGTTTGGCGGGTCATCTAAACTGTGATGCCAGCGCACACCTCTAGCAAGACGGTGATGGAGTGATTTCGAGTTGCCCTACCTCGGTGGGAGACAGGTGGTGTTAAAAAAGGATAATAGTAATAACAATAACAATAATAATAATAATAATAGTAATAATTTCTATTTTTTATTGACACATTGGCTGTTTCCCACCAAGGTAAGGTGGCCCAAAAAAGAATAACTTTCATCATTCACTCCATCACTGTCTTGCCAGAGGCATGCTTACACTACAGTTATATAACATGCAACATTAACAGCCCTCCTTCAGAGTGCAGACACTGTACTTCCCATCTCCAGGACTCAAGTCCAGCCTTCCGGTTTCCCTGAATCCCTTCATAAATATTACCTTGCTTAGTAATAATAATAACAAAAATAATACGAGGGTTTGTTGAGGTGGTCTGGTCATTTAGAGAGAATGGATCAAAGTAGAATGACATGGAGAGTGTATAAATCTGTAAGGGAAGGAGGGGTGGGTAGAGGTCATCCTCGAAAAGGTTGGAGAGAGGGGGTAAAGTGTTGTGATGAAGGTTTGACTTCAACAGCTCATAGCAGTTAGATAGGACAATGGACTAGTATTCGGGACCCGACAGCTGTTGAGTTGCATGGTTAATATTTGTGAAGATTCAGGGAAACATAATAAAACAACTGGGGTCTGTGGGAGTACAGTGCCTCACTCTAAAGGAGGGTTTGAAGTATGCAGTTTGAAGGGATAAATTGTGATTTTATACGTAATACATACCTCCAACTTAGGATGCTCGATTAGACACTCGACTTACGACATGTGTTTGATTTTGCAAATTTGGAAATAACACTATTTGTGATGTACACAGTGTTTTGATCTAAACTTACAGTAGTAAATCAGTACTACAGCTAAAAAGTGTTAACATGAAACCAAAATAACAATAAATAACAGTGATTTGATTCAGTAGTAAAGTTGACAGTCTTCGACTAGACTGTCGAAAGATTCAGTCGTTGAGTGTGGTAGGATTATTCTAACTTTTTGTTTGAGCACCTCTGCAAACAGTGATTAGTGAAGGACATGATTGATGATGAATGAAAGTAATTTTCTTTTGGGGATTTTCTTTCTTTTGCAGCTCGTGAACAAGATAAGATAATATTTGTAATTTTAACGATTACCACCCAGGATAACCAGAAAGTCATGCGTCATCGAGGATGTCTAACATTATTTCCATTGGGGCCTTAATCTTGTCCAGGATCGACACCCAGTCGATAACACCGAGGGTACCTATTTGCTGCTTGAGTGAACATGGACAATAGGTTGGAAACGTGTCGAAATGTTTCACGCTTGGGATACTGCCTTCGTGTGTGGTCACTTTAGCCTACTAGGCCACGGACCCGACTTGTTAAAAAAAAAACAATAGTAATAATGTTTTAGGACTCTATTACTCTTATCCAGCAAACTATTTACAAATATATATTGTATTTTACCTATTTCTCACTGCTTGTTTTATACCTAGGGAATGATGGGTAATTAGTTTTGATGCACAAAAGTGGGAGGGTACATCCAGTTGCTCATCAAGCCTTCACCAGCATCAAGTCCCTTGAAAGCCATGCTAATTTTGTGCTGTGTCTCATCATTTTTTATTATGTTTCTTGATACATTTCTGTCTTTTAATCCTTTCGTAATTCTTTTATGTTTGAACCTGTTTGTTTTATATCAGTTTTCTTTATGTGTTTTTTCATTGTTTGGGTCAAAATGTTACGAATAATGATTGCTGCAAAGTGAGAAGCATTTATCCAAGATGATTTTATTGAGAAATTTATACCTGTGGACACCCAGCTACCCAAGAAAGCGCTGTGTAGAACATATGTTATACCTCCACCACAATATATAAATACCCTCCACCACACTATTATACCTCCCCACACATAACCTCCACACATATTATACCCTCCACCACATATGTTATACCCTCCACTACACATATTATACCCTCCACCACATATGTTATACCCTCCACTACACATATTATACCCTCCACCACACATAACCTCCACCACACATTTATACCCTCCACCACACATGTTATACCCTCACCACATAGTTATACCTCCACTCACATGTTATACCTCCACCACATATTTACCCTCCACCACATATTCCCCCCACATATGTTATACCCCCACTACACATTATACCCTCACCACAATGTTATACCTCCACCACACATTTATACCCTCCACCACATTGTTATACCCTCCACCAACATGTTATACCTCCACCACATAGTTTACCCTCACTACACATTTATACCCTCCACCACATATGTATCCCTCCACACACATTTATACCCTCCACCAACTATGTTATACCCATCCACTCACACATTTATACCCTCCACCCACATAACCTCCACCACACATATTATACCCTCCACCAACATGTTATACCCTCCACCACTATGTTATACCTCCACTACACATTATACCTCCACCACACATAACCTCCACCACACATTTATTACCCTCCACCACATATTTACCCTCCACCACACATGTTATACCCTCCACCACAATTATATCCACCACACATGTTATACCCTCCACCTACACATGATTATACCCTCCACCACATTGTTATACCCTCCACACACTATTATACCCTCCACCACACTTAACCTCCACCACACATTTATACCTCCACCACACATTTATACCTCCACCACAATGTTATACCCTCCACACACATATTATACCCTCCACCACACATTAACCTCCACCACACATGTTATACCCTCCACCACACTTATACCCTCCACCACATTGTTATACCCTCCACTCACAATTATACCTCCACCACAATGTTATACCCCACTACACATATTATACCTCCACCACAATGTTATACCCTCCACCTACATTTATACCCTCCACCACACATTAACCTCCACCACACATTTATACCCTCCACCACACATTTATACCCACACCACACATATTATACCCTCCACCACACATTTATACCCTCCACCACAATGTTATACCCTCCACTACACATTTATACCCTCCACCACACATGTTATACCCTCCACTACACATTTATACCCCCACCACACATTATACCTCCACCACACATATTATACCCTCCACCACACATTTATACCCTCCACCACATATGTTATACCCTCCACTACACATATTATACCCTCCACCACATATGTTATACCCTCCACTACACATATTATACCCTCCACCACACATAACCTCCACCACACATATTATACCCTCCACCACACATATTATACCCTCCACCACATATGTTATACCCTCCACTACACATATTATACCCTCCACCACATATGTTATACCCTCCACTACACATATTATACCCTCCACCACATATGTTATACCCTCCACTACACATATTATACCCTCCACCACATATGTTATACCCTCCACTACACATATTATACCCTCAACCACATATGTTATACCCTCCACTACACATATTATACCCTCCACCACATATGTTATACCCTCCACACACATATTATACCCCACCACATGTTATATCCCCACCACACATGTTATATCCTCCACCACACATGTTATATCCTCCACCACACATGTTATATCCTCCACCACACATGTTATATCCTCCACCACACATGTTATATCCTCCACCACACATGTTATATCCTTCATCACACATGTTATACCCTCCACCACACATGTTATACCCTCCACCACACAAGTTATACCCTCCACCACACATGTTATACCCTCCACCACACATGTTATATCCTCCACCACACATGTTATATCCTTCATCACACATGTTATACCCTCCACCACACATGTTATACCCTCCACCACACATGTTATACCCTCCACCACACATGTTATATCCTCCACCACACATGTTATACCCTCCACCACACATGTTATACCCTCCACCACACATGTTATACCCTCCACCACACATGTTATATCCTCCACCACACATGTTATACCCTCCACCACACATGTTTATCCCTCCACCACACATGTTATATCCTCCACCACACATGTTATACCCTCCACCACACATGTTATACCCACCACCACACATGTTATACCCACCACCACACATGTTATACCCACCACCACATATGTTATACCCTCCACCACACATATACCCACCTCCACACATGTTATACCCACCACCACACATGTTATACCCCCCACCAGTTACCCCACCACACTTGTTATACCCCACCACACATGTTATACCCACCACCACACATGTTATTACCCACCACCACATGTTATACCCTCCACCACACATACCCTCCACCACACACATTATACCCTCCACCACCACAGGCACAGTACTCGCTCCCATCTTGTTCCTCATCTTCATATCCGACATAGACAAGGATGTCAGCCACAGCACCGTGTCTTCCTTTGCAGATGACACCCGAATCTGCATGACAGTGTCTTCCATTGCAGACACTGCAAGGCTCCAGGCAGACATCAACCAAATCTTTCAGTGGGCTGCAGAAAACACTATGAAGTTCAACGATGAGAAATTTCAATTACTCAGATATGGTAAACACGAGGAAATTAAATCTTCATCAGAGTACAAAACAAATTCTGGCCACAAAATAGAGCGAAACACCAACGTCGAAGACCTGGGAGTGATCATGTCGGAGGATCTCACCTTCAAGGACCATAACATTGTATCAATCGCATCTGCTAGAAAAATGACAGGATGGATAATGAGAACCTTCAAAACTAGGGAGGCCAAGCCCATGATGACACTCTTCAGGTCACTTGTTCTATCTAGGCTGGAATATTGCTGCACACTAACAGCACCTGTCAAGGCAGGTGAAATTGCTGATCTAGAAAATGTACAGAGAACCTTCACGGCACGCATAACCTTGATAAAACACCTCAATTACTGGGAGCGCTTGAGGTTCCTAAACCTGTATTCCCTGGAACGCAGGCGGGAGAGATACATGATTATATACACCTGGAAAATCCTAGAGGGACTAGTACCGAACTTGCACACGAAAATCACTCACTACAAAAGCAAAAGACTTGGCAGACGATGCACCATCCCCTCATTGAAAAGCATGGGTGTCACTAGCACGTTAAGAGACCATACAATAAGTGTCAGGGGCCCGAGACTGTTCAACTGCCTCCCAGCATACATAAGGGGGATTACCAACAGACCCCTGGCAGTCTTCAAGCTGGCACTGGACAAGCACCTAAAGTCAGTTCCTGACCAGCCGGGCTGTGGCTCGTACGTTGGTTTGCGTGCAGCCAGCAGCAACAGCCTGTTGATCAGGCTCTGATCCACCAGGAGGCCTGGTCACAGACTGTGCCGCGGGGGCGTTGACCCCCGGAACTCTCTCCAGGTAAACTCCAGGTAAACACATGTTATACCCTCCACCACACATGTTATACCCACCACCACACATGCTATACTCACCACCACACATGTTATACCCACCACCACACATGTTATACTCACCACCACACATGTTATACCCACCACCACAAATGTTATACCCACCACCACACATGTTATACCCACCACCACATGTTATATCCTCCACCATGCATGTTATACCCTCCACCACACATGTTATACTCACCACCACACATGTTATACCCACCACCACACATGTTATACCCACCACCACACATGTTATATCCTCCACCACACATGTTATACTCACCACTACACATTTATACCACCACCCACATGTTATACCTATCCACCACACATGTTATACCCTCACCACACATGTTATCCCCAACCACACATGTTATACCCCCACCACACATGTTATACCCACCACCATACATGTTATACCCATATGTATACCACCACACACATGATATACCCACCACCATACATGTTATACCCACCACCACACATGTATACCCACCACCATACATGTTATACCCACCACCACACATGTTATCCACACCACACATGAATACCCACCATACATGTTATACCCACCACCATACATGTTATACCCACCACCACACATGATATACCCACCACCATACATGTTATACCCACCACCATACATGTTATACCCACCACCACACATGTTATACCCTCCACCACACATATTATACCCACCACCACACATGTTATACCCACATATTGTTACAACTAGATATTAGTGATGTACAAGATTTAGCAGCTAGAGACTCTTAGAATGAAGGAAAAAATTATATTTTAAGGTATTCTAGGAAGGGCTTTTGATTTATGAAGTTTAAATTACCCTCTTCTTCCTCATATCAAACCAGATTACTTCCCATTTTCCAAATGCTGTTTGACCCTTTTGGCTTTAGTGCTTCCTATGAATATTATAACAATAATAATCACTGTTAACAGTACATGAATCTTCCAACTTGTGATTCACAGAAAAATTAGAGATACTTCCAGAATTAAAATTTTGACTTTTTACTCACTTGGAAAATAATTAATTTCAGATTATTATTATTATTAACACATTGGCTGATTCCACCAAGACAGGGTGGCCCATAAAAAAAAACTTTCACCATCATTCACTCCATCACTGTCTTGCCAGAAGGGTGTTTTACACTACAGTTTTTAAACTGCACCATTAATACCCCTTTTTCAGAGGGGTATAATTCTATAATTCTAAATATATAATTCTATATAAAAATTTTATCCAAATTCCTGAAAATTTCAGATATGAGATTTAAGAATAAGAGAAACTGTTATATACTCTTTGGAAACAAAGCCTGACAGGGGAAGTGTTGTTAAGTATAGTACAGTACAAAGACAAGACAAAGACAAAGGTTCATTTCTTTACAAAGGTTACAGTGTGTACAGCCTCTCCTCACTTAAGCCCGTCAAGGAAGGCTCCTTGACGCTGGTGAGGGGCTCTTGATCTAGGGAATTGGATCTGTGCTCCAGTTGGATCTGTGCTCCAGTTCCCTGAATTAAGCCTGAATGCCTTCCATCCCCCCATAGGCGCTGTATAATCCTACGGGTTTAGTGCTTCCCCCTTGATTATAATAATAATAATAATAATCCTCACTTAAGGATGGAGTTCTGTTCCTAAGACCACATCATTAAATGAATTTGTCACTAAGTGAGGAGCATACTACAGTGGACCCCCGCATAACGCCCTCAGAATGCGCCAATTATGTAGTGGTATTTATGTAAGTGCATTTGTATCGTGTATGTTTGGGGTCTGAAAGGAATAATCTACTTCACATATTCCTTATGAATAAAATTCGTCAGAAACTGCACTGAACATACTTCTGTTCGTGAAAAAATATCGTTTCACGGGGGTCCACTGTATAATGGTAGTGGGTTTGTGTCGACCATCTTTGATATTGTTTTAATGTCACCTTTGCACTATTTATAAGATTTCTGGTATATTATTAAATGTTTATATAGTAGTATACTGTATATTGTAATAAACAGAATAGGGGAAATCAGCTCTAATACAGTGGACCCCCGGTTAACGATATTTTTTCACTCCAGAAGTATGTTCAGGTGCCAGTACTGACCGAATTTGTTCCCATAAGGAATATTGTGAAGTAGATTAGTCCATTTCAGACCCCCAAACATACACGTACAAACGAACTTACATAAATACACTTACATAATTGGTCGCATTCGGAGGTAATCGTTATGCGGGGGTCCACTGTATACATTATTTAGATATGCATACTGGTCAGAGAGCCCATCGTAAGTCCGAGGCATCAGTAAACGAGTACGTCACTAAATGAGGAGAGGCTATATAGTGGTACCTCGGTATATGTCCTTAATCCATTCCAGGACCTTGGACTTATACCAAACAGGACATATACCATGTTGGACTTATTCCAAAGCGGACGTATACCGAGGTACCACTGTATAGTACAGTACAAAGACAAGATAAAGACAAAGATTTATTTCTTTACAGAGGTTACAGTGTGTAATTACATTTTTAATGTATTAGTTACAAAGATAGGACATATCATGCTGGGGCATTTCGGGCAGACTAATTCTAATAGGTACTTAAAGACTACTGAAGTCTAGACAAAATAACAATGGGATTATCAGTGGTCTGTATAAATAGGCTCATAGGTAGTAATAAAGTAATATTTTAAGATACAAAAAATACAGTTCAATACTGTATTGATATACACTACAGCCTCTCCTCACTTAGTGACATACTCGTTTACCAACAACTTGGACTTGCAATGGGCTCTCTGACCAGTACGTATACCTAAATAAAATGTATTAGAGCTGATATTCTCTATTCTGTTTATTACAAAATACAGTACACTACTGTATAAACATTTAAAAATATACCAGAAATATTTTAAATAGTGCAAAGGTGACAGTAAAACAATATCAAAGATGGTTGACACAAACCCACTACCATAATAGTATGCTCTGCACTTAGAGACGAATTTGTTTACCGACGTGGTCTAAGGAACGGAACTCGGTCGTTAAGTGAGGAGAGGCTATATTACAAAATTTAAGTGTTTATTAATTACAATAATTTAATATTTCTCTAATATAAAACAGAATATTATTTGAAGGCCAGACCTAATGCTGATCCATTTTGGATCATTATCAATTACTTGTTGTGGCTACAGAGGACCTTAGTGGTGAGAATGCAGTGTCCGCTAGCAGGAAACTGGACGACCTAATTCACCTGGCTGAGTTGTGCGTGGACCTCCTACAGCAAAACGAAGAACACCACGCTGAGGTAAGTTGTCATCTGGTGCGATCTCACAGATTTGTTTACTAATGTCTTTTTGATCATCTTGTACAATCCCAGAGTTTCGTTTATTTCTAATAATATGTCTTCACGATGTGTTGTGAAGGGGGTGGGGAGGCTGCAGTTTGGAGTGTTATCATCTGAACTGTGATGTCAGCAAACTCCTGGCAAAACAGCGATTGAATGAATGATGGTAAATGCGTTAGCTATTTTTTTTGTTGGGGAAAGGGGGGGGGGAGGTGGCAGGTGTATTAAAAAAAATTGTGAATGTTTTATGCCTCTTGGTCACCCTGCCTTGGTGGGAAATGGCCAACATGATAAAAACATACACCGTGTATGCTTGAGATTCATGGTGCAGTATTTTTTATTTGTGTGTGTTGAATTTATATATGAGGATTGTAGTGTATTATTCTGTATATTAGTGTTCTGTTCAAACATGATGGAATATAAAACATTAAGCACTTTTTTCAATTTATTTATTTTTTAAAATTTGTATAAAAAGTTTTTAATAGAATAAGTTATATTAAAAACAATCTAACCAAATGAGTAACGAATAGTCTCATTTGGATAATTTTTTTTATTTTTATTTGAACAAATAAGTGATGTTTAATGTATCTTGGTGTCACAGTATTGTTCTTCAGGAATTAATGGCTCAGATTAATCTCTTATTAACCCTTATACATATTTAAAATTTATAATTGTCAGGTATAGCATTGAAGTTAACGATGGATGTATCAAATTTTGTTATTAGCACCAATATTAGATAGGTTATATGTATATCATATTTCATTGATATTAAGCATCATTAATATAATAAGTTCCCAGTTATCCAATAAATATAAATGTGTATATATTTATCTAATAGAACTGCCATAAATATCAACTTTTTCAAAAATTTTAAGTGTTTACAGATGCGAATTGACATGCTATACAATTTTTTTGCACCAGAATTATCTTAGTAATGTCATCCAACCAGGTTAAAATTCATGTAATATAAATCTTGCCAAACTTATCTTAGATGAGCCTAAATTTATACATTTAGCATCAGTGAAATACTGTGTATAAACCTTTTTTTAAATTCTGATTGATTTTCAGTGAGTTATTGCAATGTATTTTCACAGTGCTTGTTTGACGAAGCAATCGTTGCTTTGTTAACCAAGATACTGTGAACTCTGTATCATAAGCTAGACATCTATATATGCAATAAGATCTCAGTAAACAGGTGATATCACAATATGCAAAATAAACACAGTGAAAAAAAATAGTGAAATTCCAAGCGCTTTCGTGATTTATCACATTACCAAAGGATAATAAAAATAATAGAACAGAACATTACCATAGTGAAACTGGAAGAAAAACAGTGGAACTGCACTTTATAGGCTCCTCGGAGAGGTGGCACTCTCATGACCTGTCTTGGAGGAAGGTTGGGAAAATAAACACATTCGGTATTATCCAATCCTTTATTGTCAACATTCTGCCCGCACAGTGAGCTTTAGCAGGTCACAAACAGATCTACCTGGGTGAAACATACATGAGTATTTATAGGGTGGAGAGTCAGGTGGAGAATGTTGGGTAGGTTGGATTTGAGATGGGCTTGTGAAGGACCATTGACAGATACTTACAAGTCCATCTCAAATCCAAATTACCCAGCATTCTCCACCTGATTCTCGATCCTATAAATACTCGTGTACTCTTCACCCAGATAGATCTGTTTGTGATTTGATAAAGCCCACTGTGTGGTCAAAACATTGTCAATAAAGGATTGCATTATACTGCTTGTGTTTATTTTTCCATCGTGTTGGTATTTTATACCATTTATCTCCATTGCAGGAAAGTTGTTATTGAGTTACTTGGTGGTACAGTAGGCTCTTAATTAAGACTCTTCTATATGTAGTGCAATTTTTCACAAATTGAATGAAAATGTATATACAAAAATGCATAATTCATAAAAATAATAGGAATTGTTCAAGTATGAATTCAAAAAAATAAATTGCACTCTATACAAGAGCTTCAATTAAGTGTCTTCTATACAGTTAATCAAACGCAGTGGATTCTGTACAGCCATATGGAATAATTATACCATAAAGTATGCAAGAGAGCTAAGTTTGATTGAACTACAAAAATCATTTTAAGAATCACATAAATGGTTATGAGGAATACTGTAGCAAACAGCTGCAACTCTTTTTCAGAGATAAAGCAATGAATTGTCTAAGAAACTTAAAATTAATAAGCAGGATAGACAGACTCAGTTTTTCAATAAGGTTACTTAAAAAATGCTCTAGGCATGTAGTACAGTAGGCCACCACATTTTGCACCTCTAGGTACTGCATTTATGTCTGTGTCTTGGTCTTCATTAATGATTGTAAGAGAAAATATGAGAAAATCTTTCCTTGAACCTAAGACACAGAACAAATTCTTAGTAATTGCAAATAATGTGGCATTTTATTGTGCCAACGTTTTACTTTCCTGAAGTTTTGTTAAGCTCCTGGAGAACGAAACATTGCCACAGTAAAATGTCACATTAGTTGCACTTGTGTCCTTTTACCTAGCATATTGTCAGTAATTCTACCACCATTATTACAAAGATGAGAAAGTTGATCCCATGTACCATAAATCTTTCCTACGAGGATAGGCTGAGGGCACTGTGTAAGGGAAGGAAGGTGGGGCAGAGATCGTCCCTGAAAACATTGGAGGGAGGGGGTAAAGGAGGTTTTGTGGGCGAGGGGCTTGGAGGTGCAGCAAGTGTGCATGAGCATATTAGATAGGAGTGAATGGAGACAAATGATTTTTGGGACCTGATGAGCTGTTGGAGTGTGAGAAGGGTAATATTTTGTGAAAGGATTCAGGGAAACCAGTTAGCCAGACTTGAGCCTTGGAAATGGAAGGTATAGTGCTTGCACATTAAAGGAGGACTTTGGGATATTGGCAGTTTGGAGGGAGGGGGTGTGTAGACCAAGTGTTTACAGTGAAACGTATAGGCAAACAGTATTTAGATAAGGGTAAAGAGGTTTTTGTGACATTTATGGATTTGGAAAAGGGGTATGACAAGGTGGATAGAGGGACAATGTGGCGGATGTTGCAAATGTATGGAATAGGAGGTAGGTTGATAAATTAGACACATGTGCAACTCTTGGGTATCTTTATTGAGGAAACGTTTTGCCACACAGTGACTTCATCAGTCCATACAAAGGAGAATCTTGAAGAACAGTAGGAGAATAAGGTAATCAGTCCCTCAGCCTTGAGTCGATGTGGTCAGCCCATCAATCTTGAATAGAATACGGCATAAGTGCGGAGAAGGAGCTTATAAACCATAGGCAGGAGAGGTGCAGCAGTTGTAGGTAGTGTCACATTTGTTCAATGTGGAAGTAGGTCATGCCCAAGGGTTAGGCAAGCGAAGAATTCCCAAGTATTAAGATCCCAAGAAGTTGCAGTGTCTGACAGGATTGTAGACCTTGGGATCTTAATACTTGGGAATTCTTCACTTGCTTAACCCTTGGGCACGACCTACTTCCACATTGAACAAATGTGACACTACCTACGACTGCTGCACCTCTCCTGCCTACGGTTTATAAGCTCCTTCTCCGCACTTATGCCGTATTCTATTCAAGATTGATGGACTGACCACATTGACTCAAGGCTGAGGGACAGATTACCTCATTCTCCTCCTGTTCTTCAAGATTCTCCTTTGTATGGACTGATGAAGCCACTGTGTGGCGAAATGTTTCATCAATAAAGATACCCAAGAGTTGTACATGTGTCTAATTTATCAACATGTCGGTTCTCTGAACCATTGATCTACATAGGAGGTAGGTACTGAAAGCAGTGAAGAGCTTTTACGAGGATAGTGAGGCTCAGGTTAGAGTATGTAGGAAAGAGGGAGATTATTTCCCAGTAAAAGTAGGCCTTAGATAAGGATGCATGATGTCACCATTGTTGTTCAATATATTTATAGATGGGGTTGTAAGAGAAGTGAATGCTCGAATGTTGGTAAGAGGTGTGGGGTTAAAAGATATAGAATTTAACACAAAGTGAAAGTTGTCACAATTGCTCTTTGCTGATGACACTGTGTTTTGAGGAGATTCTGAAGAGAAGTTGCAGAGGTTGGTGGATGAGTTTACTAGGTTATGTAAAAGAAGAAAATTGAAAGTGAATATAGGAAAGAGTAAGGTGATGAGGATAACAAAAAAATTAGGTAACAAAAGATTGGATATCACATGTGAGGGAGAGAGTATGGAGGAAGTGAATGTATTTAGATATTCAGGAGTGAATGTGTCAGCAGATGGGTCTTTGAAAGGTGAGGTGAATCATAGAATTGATGAGGGGAAAAAGGTGAGTGGTGCACTTAGGAGTCTGTGGAGATAGAGAACTTTGTCCATGGAAGCAAGGGTGTGAAGCATGGGCTGTGAATGTTGCAACAAGGAGAAGGCTGGAAGCAGTGGAGATGTCATGTCTGAGGGCAATGTGTAGTGTGAATATGATGCAGAGAATTTGTAGTTTAGAAATTAGGAGGTGAGGGATTACCAAAACATTATCTAGAGGGCTGAGGGGGTTATTGACATGGTTTGGACATGTAGAGAGGATGGAACAAAATAGAATGACTTCGAGAGTGTATAAATCTGTAGTGAAGGGAAGGCAGGGTAGGGGTCAGCCTAGGAAAGGTTGGAGGGAGAGGGGTAAAGGAGGTTTTGTGTGTGAGGGGCTTTGACTTCCAAAAAGCATGCATGAGTGTATTAGATAGGAGCGAATGGAGACAAATGATTTTTAGGACTTGACGTGCTGTTGGAGTGTAAGCAGGGTAACATTTATGAAGTGATTCAGGGAAACCAGCAGGCCGGACTTGAGTCCTGGAGATGGGAAGTACAGTGTCTGCACTCTGAAAGACGGGTGCTAATGTTGCACTTTTATAACTATAGTGTAAGCGAGCCTCTGGCAAGACAGTGATGGAATAAATGAGGATTATTAGGCCACCCTACCTTGGTGGGAGATGG